GGCCTCACTGAAAGACCTCCATTGTGCAGCTTCTGCAGCAAAGCCGAAAGCCAAATCTGAATTGTTGACGATTTTTTGGCTCAAACATTTGCTGCTCGGATAGGTGCACTGCTATTCTTGATTGCGCGCGCACGCTTGTTAGCCATGTGTGACCAACTAGCGGAGGTGCAAAAGAAGATTGCTAACTTGCAACGGCATATCAGAAGAGCCAAGCAGAGAGAAACAGCTCGGGAAGAAATTGTTGACCAACAAGCTCTGGTTGTCTTTATTTTTTCAGGCTATCGTGCCGATGTCGCTGGTCACTTCCACCTTTCCAGATCCAAACGTTGCATGTCGCTGGACAGTGCAGTGGCTCACGTTGAGTGGGAGTACATCAGAGCTCCTTTGGAAGACAAGGTCATGCTCATGTTGGACCCTTACCGACAATATCCGATACATCGGCTACTGGCAGCCTTTCGCTACCTAGTGCTGTTCCAACTGCGTGAGTGGGTTCAGAAAATGAATTATGAATTTGGAGTGGCCCCATCGCGGCGCATGATGGTCGACCGCGTCCAGCATTTGCTGCCCGACAGTTGGCCTGTTGACTTGCAGGCGCGGCTACTTCGCCCATTAGCAACTGCACGCGGCCAGCGCAGGTACCTTGCGGCCTTCAGGAATCGCTTTGGGTGCAAACTTGGCAAGCTACGGACGAGTCCACCAATGTCGTTGCAGGAGAAGCAGTCCAAGGCACGGGTGGTTGATTGGCTGGGTTAGTGTTGTGCAAGCAGATTTGTAAAGGTTTCTTTGAGATGCAGTGTTGACATTCGGTCAATATTTGGGTATTCCGGTAAAATGCTGATTTGCTGTTTGTAGGACCATGACAAATCACAACCTCCGGTTCTTGCAGTTTTGAAGCATACAGTGCAAGTTTTGGATCTCATTTGTACGCATTTTTGATTCCAAATGCGGACCCCGTTTTGGGGTCCAAAAAGCGGACCCCAAAGTGCAGATGACCAAGGTTTCTCACTTCCTAGCCAAATTGCTTGTCATTTTTGGGTCCGGAAAATAGACCCCAAAATGGGGTCCGCTTTTTGGACTGAAAATGATCATTGTCAAGCGGCCTTTGGCAGGCGATGGCCTTTTGGCAATGGTGCAATTATGCATTGAAGGATGCTGGTGACGAGCCTTTAGTTATCAACATGGATGAGTCCAGCATTGTGTTTCAGTGAACTGCGTGGCATAGTCTTGCCACAAACTCACAGCATCTGAAAGAAATTTCTTCCAGTTGGAGTGCAGCTGTGATCGCGCGAGGATGGATGCTTCGTACGCTTTCCTCGCCGACCCCAATTGCTTTGCTGCAGCCTGCAAGTCCTTGGTCGCCTTCGCCCCGTCCTTCACTCCTTCCTTGAGGGTGGACTCTTTTACCGCCTTCTGTATGTGGAGCGGCAATTCGGCAACGTCTTGACGTAGCATCGTCATCAGATCCGTGCCAATTGTCTCCGATGCCTGTGGTTGTGGCATAGGCGGCATTTTGGGCATAGTAGGCATCACAAAATTGGGGCCCATTACCGATGGCATTTGCGCTGGTGGCACATTGGGCATCACAGCGCTGGGCGGCATCGGTGGTGGTGGCAATGGCTGTTGTGCATGCATCGGTTGATACGGCTGCATCATTTGCGGCTGCACATTCCATGCCATCATAGGGGCCATTGGTGCCATGGCAGCATTGTGCATGGGTGGTCCAGGCAACATGGGCATCTGTGGAGGAATCCCTTGGCCAGGTTGCTTCGAACTCTTGGCACTGCGGGCTCGATTCTTTTTCTGCCTGGGCGATTTGCCTTGCTGCTGGTCCCATTGCCATGTATTTTGTCCTTGCCATGAGGCGTGGTGCTGCTCTGTCTCTTGCTGTTGTCTTCTTGGGCTCTTCATCCCATGCACATATGTCCTGTCCAGAACCATGTGCCACGGGAGGTTGCATGTGGTGCAATGCAACGCAGTATGCTTGCGAAGCTGTCTGCATCCTGTGCAACGCCAAGGGGCGTTTGATTGAGTCGCCATCTCGCTGTTGATCTTCTTGATGAATGACTGATCTGACGAATGGTGAGTTTGAAGCGTGTGCTTGATGTTCTTCAACCGCGCAAAGTCCAAACAAATGAAACCTCTGCGATGAAGAAACCACAGGAAGCGAGCCTTCGCCCTTTTCCTTCTCTGTGCTCTTCTGACTGTAGAGATCGCCGTGCTGATACACCGGGAGGAGACAGTCGCCCTCAACCAAAGCGTTCACGGAGTCCCCGACGAGCTCAGATGCACACTGCAAGCAAGTCACCTTCTTAATGTCAAAGATCAATGTGATCAGAAGGAAGCTCAAAATTGCCCGGGGCATACACAGCAGCGTGGACAAAGTGCAAAAGAAAGTGCTAGGCTAAAGGCCGGGGATAGCGCTGCAAAGTCAGCTGCTATGGCCCGCGGGAGTCGCACAAAGTTCCCGCTAAGATAATGGACGCGATGGGTGTTGGGGCCCTCGTGAGCCAGAACCTTTATATGACATATATATATATATATATATATACGTATAGTACATATACCTATAGTATAATATTTATGTAACTGTATTCTTTGATGTATACAACGCCCAGGTGTGCCGGTGGACGGCTGCATGGCTCAACCTTTGGGACAGATGGCACCACTGGGACCCCCTATGGGGGCACTGATGGCCATGGCGCCACCACGGTGAACGCCGCAGAAATCGCTGGAAACCAACGGCGACATGGAGATTTCACCTTGAAAAATGTGAGAAAAATGTGGGAAAGATGGGAAATATATGGGAAATATATGGGAAATATATGGGAAAAGTCATATTCCAAAGATCAGGATGAGAAATATTCGAAAAATCTTGGAAAATTGATGGGATTTTATGGGAAATGCACTGTATTGATGAGTGAACCATGAAAAATTAAGAGTTAATTATGAAAAATGGAGGTTATGAGGAGAAATATATCATGAGAATAGGCCAAAATTGGAATAACGAAAAATATTGCTATAACCATCAAGAATGGTGAGTTGATATTCAACACAAAAAAGAAACATACGTGGGAAATCATAGGAATTGAATGGTTTTAACCATCAAAAAATTGATACTTAACCATCAAAAATAAAGATACAATAAGAATATAATGGGATTGGCTATCAAAAATAGTGATCTAATCATTAGAAATGGAAATTTACCAATTAACCAACAACAAATGAGGTTCACCTGCCAACAATAAACAGTTTGTGGATTTTACTTAGCATGTGTGGTGAAAGTTGTGTTTTGTAGCGGTTTTTTAGAAATCAGGTGATTTCAATCTGCAAAACTTCCGATTCGACCATGGCGACAAATCGCATTCATACTTCTGGGTTTTTAGCCTTTCCGGTGGTTTGGAATGTGACTATTTGGCCAAAGATGAATTCGTTTGGGAAAACCTGAACGTTGCGTCCGCCAGCGGAGAAGTGGAACTCCGCCCATGGCTTCACAGAAGAAAAACGCCGGTCCGCCCAATGCCGTGGATTACTGGGGCACTGTAAAACTCAGAAATCTTGAGGATTGAACCATCTAAAATGTGGATCTCATAGGGTTTTTCTAACATGTTACAACAATAGGATGAGCCCGCGCTGGGATGTCCCCGGGTTTTTTGGGGGTGTCTTGCTTTGTCTTGAAAAAGATGTGGGAAAACCATGGGGAAAAGCCCAATTTAGTCCGATGGTTTATCGTCATAGTTCCTTTTAAAATGGCCACAACTGGGGTTGTACACCGTTTTCATGTTTTCAGACACACCCATATAATACGGATACAATGGGTATACAACCAATGATGATCCTCAATGAGTTTCTCTTATTTTTTCAGGGTGGCTCGACCACAAGCTGGTTGGAAAATCCCCTGTAATTGAAGGTGTTAATGAGAAAATCCTCTGTGAAATCCCCTATTTTTAGATGATTGTCCCATTCAAACCTCCATTTATAGGCGATTTGTATCTGCACCAGCAAATAGGACGCACCTCAGTTTTTAGGATGTTCTGAACCACCGACAACTTAAATAATAGATTAGATGTGACCCTTCTTGAAACTAAGAGAGATGTGGAAAACCCAGTTAAGTACATGATGTTCCTAGTGAAACGGTGGGTTTTCCACATTTAAGTTCCTTTAGGTATATAGTTGCTGAGTAAACCTTGGATGTGTGCTCAAATCCTTGAGTAATATGGCAGGGTATCTAAGACCGGCTTATTACAAAGGAGAAGGCTGCTAGTCTAAATCAGGGGAGAAGAAGACGCAAATTGAGGATGGTTTTATGATATTTTTGGGGGGTATATTCCATTACTTAAGATAGTTGTAAAGAAAAAATCACGGCAACACTTAGAAGAGCACGTTTTCTGGGGAACCACAAGTGTGGAAAAAAAATCCACGTGCGCCCCACAAAAAGGCCACAACCGTGGGTTTTTTCGCGATGGTGTCTGGGGCTTACAATGTGGAGACTCGTCGGCTCCCAAAAGGCTGATAATTCATAAAAACCTCACTGTTACTTCACTATTAACTATAGATTATGGTTTGTAGAGGTCACCAAATGGCCGAAGTTGTTCAGGGCGAATTAGTGTTCTTGTTGATCTAGAAATAATACATTATGATCATGATGTGTATGTATATTTACAGTAGCCAAAAACGAAAGAAAAGAGATTTGCCACTCTTTTAGTAAGAATGTACCCTTGTTCCGTTTTTGGAATTGCTTTGTACATATACATACACATATACATTTACATTTACATATATATATATATATACACATACATATATACATATATACATATATACATATATACATATATAAATATATACATATATACATATACATATATACATATATACATATATATATATATATAATGTATGTATATATATATATATATGATGTATATATGTGTATGCATATACAGAAAAACACATGTACATACGGCCTACATGGGTTTTGCCCCATCCTCCATGGCGCCGTTCGCAGGCTCCATACGCAAGCAGCGCAGTTGGACGATGCCGGCTTGCAATACTTAGGTGCCACCAGGGCTCTGCTGGATGCCCAGCAAATGCCGGGCCCTACCTTGGATATTAAACACTGCCATGTTGATTCAGTTATGAAGCACAGTAGGGGCTTATTGACCTGCTTTATTTTAATGATTGTTACCCATAAAGGTGATACTTATCAACCCAATCTCGCTGCTGATTGTAGAGAGCCACTCCGCTGTGGGTGTATATGCCAATGTCATGCTACTGGTGACTGGAGGCTGAGACTTTGATGCGGAAAACTGAAGTTCGGAAATGCTGGGATTGGAAATGGGAGATGGGGCATATCTGAAACATACCCAACTGGGTTTGGAATATTTTGATGGGGATATCATCCTTCTTTGAATCTCGGGTTTCAGTTTTCGTCTCTAACGTTGATGGGCATTGTCGCTCGTATCACTATGAACAAGTAAATGTCAACTGGGGGACACGGTTGTTGTCACATTGGCAGTTTTGGAATAGAAATGGGAACATGAAGCTACACAAGAGGAGGTGGCGAAATTGTGTCACCAAGATCGACGGGGATTTGGGCTGCGAAAGTGGCACTTCAAAATCGGGGAGTTGACCAACGATAACTCTGCGTTTGCTACCCTCTGGTAATTTGTTACAGTTTGCTATTGAATAGCTGGTCATAGAAATAGTGGATTTTCCCATTAAAAATGGGTGGATCTTTCCATAGTTTTGTGAAAGTTTACCAGAGGCTACTTTTGATGATTCGACCTACAAAAAGGGAAGATCTTGATTGATCTTGACCAAGAATCTGCTGTTCGAAAAGTCATCCACCATTTCTTGACCCAGGCTGTGCGAAAGACCTCAAATGGATAGGTTTGGGGATGTTAATCATGGTAATAATGGTTAATAATGGTTAATAATGGTTAATACTGGTTAATAATGGCTCTGATTGGTGGTGGTTTGGAACATGTTTTATTTTTCCATATATTGGGAATCATGATCCCAACTGATGAACTCCATCATTTTTCAGAAGGGGTAGGGCTCAACCACCAACCAGTATAATTATGGGACAATTATGAGATGATTATTTTTAAGATACCCTCCGGTGGAAGATCAAACATGGCTAGCTGGACAATCCACCATTTAGTTGGATGATTTTGCCAGAAACCGAAACAGGAATGACACCGGAGGGTATATTCCATATTCATCCCAATATATCCCACAATTATCCCAGTAAAGATTATCTATCTATCTATCTATCTATCTATCTATATATATATTATTGTTATATATATATATATTATTGTTATATATATATGTGTATATATATATTGAAATCCAGTCGGTTTTGGGACCAAGTTTTTGTTCCGCACTTTAGGCACCAAAAACCAATCAACCCATTTTTGGGAGCGATTTATCACCGCGCTCAGGCGATCCCAGTTTTTGTTCGATCCCAAAGATGGATCGTTCAATGTCATCCAGAATGGATTCTTAGATAGTACCCTCTGGTAAATAAACATAGACCCTGAAAATCACCCATTTTTAATGGAAACTAATCTTCCAAGTCCTATTTGCCAGGGTCTATGTTAATTTACCAGAGGGTAATACCAAAAAAAAATGATGTCTGGTTGGTGGTTTGGAACCATGGAATTTGATTAGACTTTCCATATATTGTAATACCCAAAACCAGAAAGTAATACCAAAAATTCATTGATCTTCATAGAAGTTTTCCATATATTGTAGCCCAAATTCATTGATCTTCATTGATTTCCATATATTGTAACCCAAATTCATTGATCTTCATTGATTTCCATATATTGTAACCCATTAGTAAAGAATCTTCGTAGTACCTCAATATGTTTCAGCAAAACGTCGCAGGCGAGCTGAGTTTCAATGAGCAGTTTGGTGCCATCGAAGAATTGCCTGGGGTCACAGCTGATGCTTCCACGGTGGTTCCATGACTTATGGGGAAAAGATCGGGATAAATCACCATCAAAACGGGATTAAAATTGACCCTCAAAAATGGAGATTCATATAGAAATACGGGGAAACATTGGGATATCTTGGAATGAACCATATTTGATGTGAAAATAAGAATCAAAACTGGAGATAGGACATATGCTGGGATAAACGATCAAGAATAGGGATGTAACATGATATAACATGATAGTTGCTAACGGGAAATTCACCATGAATATCATGAGATATGATCTGGGTACATTTCATCGCGACCTCATTGTGACGGAAATGATGCCGAAGTGGCCTTACTTTGGGTCAATGATCATTGGCAGGATTATGAGTATTCACAGTAGGACTACTAGTTTAACAGTGATAATAGCACTAACATGAATAGCAATCGGATGACTGTTGTTATTGTATGTTATCTGGTTGGTGGTTTGGAACATTTTCGATTTTCCCATATATTGGGAATAATAATCTCAACTGACTTTCATATGTTTCAGAAGGGTTGAAACCACCAACCAGTTATTATTGGTATTGGTTTGAAAATGGTTCTTACCGGGCTTGACTAACAACGCCAGCATCATCTTTGTCTGGCTGTTTTCGCTGTGATGGCCCTTCTGGGCGTTCAACAGATGACGTGGATGTGTGTGTGTGGGGGCCCGCCGTGCATCCACGTCACAGGGTGCAAACAATGGGCGTGCCAGCAACAAATCTCCACCTTGTCACAATCTTCCCATGGTATCGCTTGTCTTTGACATTTCAGTCGGCCGTGGAAATACGTGCTCAGCAACAGCTTAAACTAGGTTAAACCAAGCATTTTGCTTTCCATCTATAAATTGGTCCATCCACATTCTCAAAATTGACCCCAAAATCCCATGATGATTCCATTTTCCCTATGAAAAAGGAAAAAATATGGAGGATATACCCCCGTTTTCAGATCGCCACATGGAAAAAAACAATCATAACGAAACAACCGCTTGGTGGTACATGGTTTCACCCTGGAAAGCAGCTGGTATTGATCGAAAAATAGTTCTTGTAGGTATAGCCATTAAGTAGTTTCCACATATATCCCACTAATATCATTATCTATGATTTATTGGTTGATCTCTACTGGGATTTTAGCAAATAGTTACTTAAGGATATTAGATGGTTACGTATTCCTATTGATATCCCACTACTTGGAAGTGCAGTTCCAGTGAACTAAGTGAATAAATTTCAGCATAGCTATGGGGATCATATCCCAACATGGGGTTTATAACAAGGTTCTTGGAACCTGATCCTGGGGCGGATGTCGGTAGCAATGAGGGGTATACTGCAGAGGATATGCCCAAGCGGTTCACACAGTCGAAGGCCCAGCTCTCACACGGCAATGGATCGTATATCCCATGATATTCCCATGGTTTTATCTCATCAAAATCCCATAAAATATCATAAAATCACGTTTAAATCCCATCTAAAATCCCATAGGAATCCTATCAAAACTCACCTCAAAACGCACGTCACAGGTTGCCTGGCTCTGCACCGACAGGTCCGTGACGGGCGGATCCAGGGATGTCGTTGCTGCCCAAAAAGGATCCCAGAAGGTGAGAAAACGATAAAAATGGTGGTGTACATAACTATAACTATTATTATTAATAGTGTTTAAAAATTATTGTTTTTGTTATTTGTTACATATTATTACTACTATTATCATTATGATTACTATTATATGCATATATAGGAAAAGAGACAGAGAGAGAGAGAGAGAGACCTTTGTTTTGCGGATCCGTTTCTTCTTTTTGGATGGCCTGTACTGGTCTTAGCGCTAAAAATTGAGAGGTTCACCACCATCAAACACTGAGGGCCAGATCACCCAGTTAGTGGCCCTATTTTCGGGAAATTAGCCCATTAAACATTTTAAGATGCTTAGTACCCCATGTGGTTTACAAGAGGCTTCCAGGTTTTTTGTAAGAGATATGGTTCGTGATTGATGTTCCTCGTTCTTGATTTCATTCCTGGGTCATTTGCCATGATTCAACAGGGGAATGACTCAAAATGATGTACCCAAAAAACAGATGCTTGCATCTTAGAAATTAGCCCATTGGTTCCCCATATGGAGCAGAAAAATGTGTCGCTGCCAGATGCCGGTACCTTGTTCGATGAACTTGGCTTCCAGGGATTCTTACAGCCCTGTCCTTAATCTGGAGCTGGGGAGGGTTCAGGTCGATACAGGGCACATCATGCCGCAGCCAGTGATTTACCGATGCCTGGAGAAGCTCACCAAAATCAGCCACTGAAAATGCTTGTTCTATTTGGCCTTAGAAATTTCCAGCTTTGTCCGAGAATGGTGAATGCCCCAATTTTTCTTCAAGTCTTTCATAGGGGAAAATGAATGGTGAGGATTGGGAACTGTTCAGGTTGCTGAGTCACATCCTGGGTGATACGATCAACCAAACGCAGCTGAGAAGAATCCCAGACATGCTTGACCATCTGGTGTCAATTCATATGGTTTCCCAAGAACCAGAAAGTTGGGCGGAAGTTGGGTGCCAAAAAAAGTTACAGCTACAGCTCTATGTGTCCATCATTTTTCCCATACCTAAAAACCATCAAAAATCACAATTTTCCCATACAATCCCATCATATCACCATTGTTGTTGCCCAGAAACCCCGAAAAAATCGGCCCAGCCCGTCCCCAGGCGGTGTGTGCACCGGAAGTTGCAGCCCATTGCTGCCAGGTTCACTCCAGAGGAGCTCCTGGCTTTAGGCAACCGGGCGACCGGAAATCACCACGGAGTGTTCTCCGAAAAATAGGGAGAAAATCTGGAAGTCATGGAATGTTCAGCAACAAAATGATGATGTAATAGGGTTTGACCAAGAAGATGCTGTTTCTGTTGTTCTTTTTTGATAAACCACTTTTTAACTTTAACCATGATAAACTCTTGAAATGGTTGAGGGATGTCAAAATATTATACCATTGTTTGTCAATATTAATCTAGGGATGTGTTTTTTATTATATACCCTTGCTGGCACCTTGGAAGGAGTTTTTAGTAGGATATGATGATTATGATGGGGATATAATGGCGATCTAGCCAACTAACAGTCGAGTTATACTCAAGGGGTGTACAACCAATATGACATATGACCGTGTCTGAACGTGAGGATTGACCCAGGGACCCAGAAGTTAAGACCATTATATATACCCTCTGGTTATTTAACATAGCCATGGAAAATAGCCCATTTATAGACGGTTTGCCTATTAGAAATGGTGACTTTCCATGGCTATGTTGAATAACCAGAGGGTAATGGTTAAACTATTGGAGGCTTCAAGCAATGATTGTTTTTGAACCATGCAAAAGGGATGATTTGTTGAGATGGGGAATATTCTTCGGATGGGCTAAAAGCCACCAGCCAGCTTGAAATGGGGTGAAAAAGTCGTTGTTCTACTAAGGGGAATAAACAATACCCGCCGGTAATCGAACATAGCTATGGAGAAACACCATGATAAACAGGTAGATCATCTATAGATCGGTAATTTTCCTTAGCTCTGTTCGATTACCAGAGGATATTGATTGTTGACCAGCAAAAATGATGATACGATGTAGGAGTGTATGCTGATATATGGGGCTAAACCCTTCAAATGTGGATAAGCCCAAGTATCTACGGTTTATCAACCACCACCAACAACCATCAATGAGGTCTATTGATGCTTAATTACCCAGCAGGAACCACTAATGATCGTTGATTGTGCCTATTAACACATAAATAAATATCTCAATAATGTATATATATATATACATATTCATACATATGCATGTTATAGATAATGTGGGAAACCCAAGAATAAACCAGTGGTATAAACCATCCCAAATGGTAGGTGTATGGCATTCGGCTTCCCACATTCTACATATAGACATGAATCCCAATAACCCGCACCCTTTTTTGCCCATAGGCCGCCTGAGCTTCAGTGAGCAATTCCGATCGCTGGACCTACCAGGCACTCTTGACATATTTGGGGGCCAGGAAGGTGATGGAACCAGTGTACCCTGATATGTAACAAGGCTATCGTAGGGTAAATTGACATAGATATGGAAAACCTTAGTTTTCGGAGGAAATGCCTGATCCATAACTGGATTCTCCATAGCTACGTTGATTTACTGTAGGCTAAAAACCAACAAAAATGTGGAAATTCATGGAAAGAGATGAGGTGTAGAGCAAAATCAATGTTGATTGATTTGGAACTTTCATGCTTTCTATGGGAAAGATGAGATCGAAATTTGGATTACGCCAAAAAATTGTGATGTTCAAACAAAGAGACAAGGTGTAAACCAGTCAAAATGCGGGAAGCAGCAAAAATAGCGCTCTTACAGCCAGCAAAAAGCGTTTTTTTGACAGAAATTGATGTGGTTATCATCAAGATTCAGATTGGTTCCCAAACAAAGCCTGGTTTTTTACCAACAAAAATTCATTACCCCCAGTTCTTGGTAAAACTCATCGTTGCCATAAAACAAAGATGCCAGTTATGGCTGGTGAGAGGTGATGATTACTGCTATTACTATATTTATTACTATTGGCCGAAGGAAGTTTGGAAGTCAAACTTCCGACAATATGGACAGATGAAAAGCAGAGATGGGAAGAGTCAGAGAAGACAAGAGAAGAAGAAAGAAGATCAAAAAGAGAAAGTCTCCGAAAAAAGAAAATCCAGGTGCGCGAAAAGGTAGGAAAGTCGCGAAAAACTGTGTTTTTCCAATGATTTGTGGCTCCGGAGGAGGCTCGCTAAAGCGGCGGGCGCGGAGCCAGCTGGCCAGATGATAGATGAAAAATTGCACACTGTTGTGGCGCGAAGCACATTTGCAAGTGAAAAAGCCAAAAACACCGCACATTTGGAGCATTTTTGGAAGTTGAGATGTCGAAAAAGCGCACTCCGTTGTGGCGCAAAGCACATTTCCAAGTCAAAATGCACAAAACACCTCATGTTCGGACCACTTCTGGAAGTTGAGATGTCGAAAAACTGGACGCCGTTGTGGCGCGAAGAACATTTCAAAGTCAAAATGTACAAAACACACCATGTACGGACCACTCTTGGACGTTCAGATCTCGTTTCGCGTGGCAGGCGCAAGGGATTGTGCACCTTGTCAAAAATGAGCAAAACGTGAGGGTTTCGTAGCATTTCTAACAAAGGTGGCAGGCCTGGGACATTTGAAGAGGATCTGCAAAGATGCATTTTCCGTGGCAGGCGCAGTACCAGAGACATGTTCATCAGAGATGTGAGGAGGTGAGGGCGCTGATTTCCTGAGAGGGGTTGCATTTTGGAGCATCAGATCTTCAGTTTTGCTAAAATGATTTTGCGTGACAGGTGCAGCACTTCGTATGACCTGGCATCAACTTTTCGTGGCAGGCGCAGTACTTTAGACAGGTGGAGTGGACAAATTGCAAAACGCATTGGTACGAGGCCGTCAATTTCCATTGTTGAAGGAAGTCTCGCAGAATTGTTTCATTTTTGATGTTGTCAACTCCGAAAATTGAGGAAGTCTTGCAGAATTGTTTCGTTTTGATGTTGTCAAGTTCAAAAGTTGAGGAAGTCTCGCAGACTTGTTTCGTTTTTGATGTTGTCAAGTTCAAAAACTGAGGAAGTCTCGCAGAATTGCTGCGTTTTCAAGCTTACAGATAGACAGACAGACAGACAGATAGATAGATAGATAGATAGGTAGGCACATAGAAAGATAGACAATTACAACTACAACAACTACAACTACCACTACACTACACTACTGCTACAACTACAAATACAAATATACTACGCTACATTACACTACACTAATTACACTACACTACGCTAATTGCATCTAATTGCACTGCACCACACCAATTACACTGACAACAACTACTACTACTACTACTACGACTACGACTACGACTACGACTACAACTACAACTACCACCACCACCACCACCACGACTACTACAACTACAACTACCACCACTACCACTACCACCACCACCACCACCACCACGACTACTACTACTACTACTACAACCACAACTACAACCGCTGCTGCTGCTGCTGCTACCGCTACCACAGCTACAACTACAATTACAACTACACTACACTAGACTAATTACACTGCAGCACGCTACAACTACAAATACAACTACAACCACCCTACATTACACAACACTACACTACATTGATTACATCGCATTACACTACAACTAACACTACATTACACTACACTACACATACTACACATACTACACTACACCACACCACACTACACTACACTACTGTACACTACACTACACTACGCATACTAAACTACATTACACTACGCTACACTGATTACCCTACACTACACTAATTACACTGCACTACACTACAACTACAACTTCACTACACTACACTAATTACACTGCACTACACTACAACTACAACTACACAACCTTACACTAGACTACACTACACTATACCACACTACACTACACAACACTACACGAAATTACGCTGCACTACACTACACTAATTACACCACAGCACGAATACAACTGCAACTGCGCTTGCAAATGCGCTAATTACACCACATTACAGCTACAGCTCCACTACACTACACTACAGCTACAGCTGCAACTGCAACTACAACTACAACTGCACTACACAACACTGCATCCAGCAGTTGTGGTAAGGTGACGACTGCAACCATTGCAACCACTCCAAAAACACAACTCCAACCACCTGTCGGTCCATCAGTGGATTCGCTCTGCCATCCCTGACTAAAAACAACCAGTCTCTCCTATAGTTTTCCTATTTTTGAAACTTCCGCCACCGCCTTGTGCTGTACTACTGGTAGTAGTATTATTAGCATTCTTATTGTTATTCTTCATGTTCTTACTATTTTTCTTACTACTTATTGTTCATGATTTATCATCACCAATGAAGATTGATCAAGATCGGGACTTCCCGGCAACCATAGTTGTAGTGGTCAAATACTCTACAAAGTGGGGCTGGCCCCCGAAAGAAAATAACATTCAGTTGGTGTAAATAACTCCGCTGTCACTATGGTATGTGATACTTTATAACTACGTATAGTTCATAGGGGTTTTCAAGCAACAAACACCACTGGGGCGCCTCACTGTTTATAAACCATCCATCAGTTTTCTGTTCCTCTTGATTATAGTTGGTAGGGTTACCCAGCAAACATCACCTTTTGTGGGTAAAACAATCATAAACCACCCATGACTGGGAATGGTAACCATGGCGGTGTGCCAGTGCCATTGGATGAATCTCCTGACCTGGAAGGGTCAGACACCGTGGACAGCGTGAAAGGCTTCACGTCAGTGGGAGGCAGTGCAATGTCAAGCACACGCGCGGAAGCCTGCCGCGGCCTGGGCAGAAAGGTTCCAAGATGGCCGAAAGCCCAACTTGATGATATGACACCAGAAGGAACGACGCGGCCCGTGATGCAGCTGTACCATGCAATGGTGATTTTGCAGCTAAACGATGACTCCGTGGAGGTGGTTCGAGAAGTGAGGCCCGGGTATTAATTTGTTTTTTAATCAAGTGGTAACAGACTGAATTGGGGCGTGGACGGGGATGGTGATGATGACTCTCCCAACCGGAACGGGGGCAGCGTTCCCAGGTCCTGAAGCCAAAGGTACGGCAGGCGCGACGTGTTTGGGGGGAGAAGCCCCGAAAGTTAACTTATGGGATTTAGAAATATAAATATATACTTATGGTGTATCCTAGTGGTTGCTCTGGTTGTTTATTTCCTTACAAATTGGCGATATCCAATTGAGTACTACAGTACAAGCTGGTTTTATCACATCATAACCCAGCTGACTTGGAACAGGTGAAATAACTCAGTGATTTGGTTTTTTATATTCAATTCTGAGTAAATGCACGATCATTTTTTAAATTGATTTTTCTTCATTCCCATCACTACTATTTTATCACTATTGGTATCAGTATTGTTCTCTCACCCTTTATCACTAATGTGGGTGGAACAATGCCATAAATTTCACCATAAATAGGTGGTATGGTTACCATTCCCAGTCATGGCTGGTGTATGACATTGTAGCCACATTATCATTACTGAATAATCCACTATTGTCATAATAGTCAGGATTCTTTTTTTCCTCTATCAATTCATCAATGAGAATAATCCGCTATTGGCATAATAAATAAACATAATAGATAGTATTGGATAATAGTAGGTCATCCACGGCTGGATAGAAATTATCCTCATTCGTCCGCCAGGTCGGCAGGCTTACAGGCGGGAGCCTGGGAGGGTTTGCCACATTGCAACAATCAGGAGATGGTTTCTTCCAAGTTTAGAAAACCCTCTATACATATTTTACATATACATATACATATGCATATATATATGTATGTATTTACATGTCTATTTATATATATATACATGTAAACATATGTAAATAAATGTATATATATATACATATTTATATATATATATACTAATATATATATATACTAATATATATATACATATATATATACATTTATTTATACATATATATACATTTATATTTACATATATATATACATATATATTTACATTTTTATTTACATATATATATACATATATAAACATATAAATACATGTTTTTAAGATATATGCAAATATATACATATATATACCTATATTTACATATATACATTTACATATTTACATATATATACATATTTATACACCCATGTCTACATATATATATATATTTACATATATACATATATATATGTGTGTATACATATATATATATACATAAATATATATATATTACATATATACATGTTTAAATATATGTAAATACATTTGCTTAGATATATGTTTACATAACGATACATATACATACTCCAGGTTCAAAGTACATGGCTCAGACCTACTTTTTCAGAGGTGGTTGCGCCATCTATTTAACAGTGATTGTTTTTTTAGGATATGTACCCGAAACAGCAAAAGTGCCCAGAAGATGGCGCAACCCTACATGTGCAAAATGGGCCAAATTGCGCCATCTACCCCATTTTTAATTTAAATCCCTTCTTCCGGGACCGGACATTTCGGTCATCAAAGCGTTGAAAAAATAACGGGGATGTGTGTTCAACAATAGGTTTTCTCGTTTTTTTTCCACTACTAAATAGATGGCGCAACCCCCTGGGACAGTGCCATCCGCTTGTGTCATGGAGAGATGTCAAGGGAAAAGGAAAAAGGGAAAGGGACATTGAAAGGAGGAGGGAAAGGAGAAAGGAGAAAGGGAAAGGGACAGGCAACAGGTTTTTTTTTCGGGGGAAACCATAACTGTGGATTGCGCCATCTATAGGTTACCACTGCGTTCCATGTGTAAAGGGAAAGGAAAAGGAGGAGGAAAAGGAGAAAGGAAACAGGAGAAAAAGAAAGGGCAAGGAGAAAGGAAGAAAGGAGAACAATGAAGGAGAAAGGAGAAAGGGAAAGGGAAAGGAGAAAGGAGAAAGAGAAAGGGAATTGAGAAAAGGAAGGGGGAAAAGGAAAGCTGAAGGTGAAAGAGGGAAGGGAATGACAAAGGGAAAGGGGAGAGGAGAAAGGGAAGGGAGAAAGGAGACTGGAGAAAACGAAAGGGACAGGGATCAGGATTTTTCTTCGGGAAACCATGACTGTGGGTTGCGCCATCTATAGGTTACCGAACCGTTCCATTTGTAAAGGTAAAGGGAAAGGAGGAGGGAAAGGAGGGGAAAGGGAAAGGAGAAAGGAAAGGGGGGAAGGGAATGAGAAAGGGAACGGAGGAAGGAGAAAGGGGAAGTTAAGGGCAAAGGGAGAGGAGAAGGGAAATGGAGGCTTGGAAACTTTGGACTTAAGAATCCTTGCATAGATGGCGCAACCCTGAAACATTTTCTGGCATAGATGGCGCGGCCCACAAAAATAACGGGGATGGATGTCACGCCCTTTTCGGGTGTCAAAATTCAAAAAGTCGGCGCCATCTATACGCGCACTTTGGAAGAGGGTGGAGCCATCTACCTTGAAAACGGTGTATACATAGACATATATATATATATACATATTTTTATTTATTTGTTTATTTATTATTTATTTATTTATTTATGTATTTATTTATTTAGATATGCATATGTATATTTATATATGCACAGATACATACCGTTGCAAATCCAGGAAGAGAGAGATAGATAGATAGATAGATAAGATTAGATTAGATTTAGATAGATAGATAGATAAGTAGATAAGTAGGTAGCTAGATAGATAGATGATCGAAAGCTAGCTAGCTGTAAATGTACATAAAATTTGAGATTTCCATGGCCAGGTCACCGCAGAAAAATCATCCAACAGCGCCAGCCTTGTCCGCAGGTCGTCTTTCGCTCAGGCTCGATCTTGTGTTGGAGCACTTGGATGGCTTAACCGCAACCAACAATTTCTTGGTAATTTAATAGGATTGAGTGGATGTTCATGTGAAATTAATGGTGATTGAATGCAATTTCAAGGAGTTTTAGGATTTTCTTGCCTCAAAAAACATGGAGATGAAATGATTCAACCAACAATTCTTTGTGCGTGCAAATGGGGATGCACTGAACAAAGATGTTTTAGAGATTTCGGGCCAAAATAAGGTACCCAACACCCATATTTCTTTCAATACGAAATTGGGGTGAAATGTTAGATGAGGATAGGACCATCAAAGATCGTTTCTTGACCACAAAGGATGCAACCAATGAATATTGTATATGTTGTGTGTTTGAACTTCGAGGATGTCCATAAAATTGCAATTTGTATGGAAAGCATGGTGATAAACCATTGATTTTCGGATGCCCGATTCTCAGACGAAGCATGTATACAGACGGGATTCGTACGGGAAACCAATGGTGAAAACGGGTACAACGTTGAGAAATACCAAAATGGATATATCAGATACTCAATTCTACACATGATGTTAAACAATTGGATTTTGGTTTTCCTCATATGCTGGTGCCCATCGTCCTATACTTATTCCGTCACCTGCTTCATTCCATGTAGAGGCTCAAGGTTGCCATGTGTCCTCTTCTCATGAGTTGAACCAACAACCAGTTGAAGCATGATCAAACACGGTTCGGTTCTCACACTGGACTGTTCTAAGCTTTGCTGTCAGACCAAATTTCGAGAGTCATTCTCTTGCCACAGTGCCGTGTGCTTTCACAAGGCTGTTGATCTTTCCCTCTCATTGCACACTATGCAGTGCTAAAGGGGACAAGAACAGCCCATACTATGCAGCTGGATTTACTGCTTGCTAGTCACTTTTTGAACAAGGCTTGCGAGTGCCATTGTCCTGCCACAGTCTTTTCTGCTTTTCACAAGGCTGTTGATCTTTCCCTCTCATTGCACACTATGCAGTGCTGAAGGGGACAAGAACAGCCCATACTATGCAGCTGGATTTACTGCTTGCTAGTCACTTTTTGAACAAGGCTTAAGAGTGCCATTGTCCTGCCAAAGTCTTTTCTGCTTTTACACAAGGCTGTTGATCTTTCCCTCTCATTGCACGCTATGCAGTGCTGAAGGGGACAAGAACAGCCCATACTGTCCTGCTGGATTTACTGCTTGCTAGTCACTTTTTGAACAAGGCTTGCGAGTGCCATTGTCCTGCCACAGTCTTTTTTGCTTTTACACAAGGCTGTTGATCTTTCCCTCTCATTGCACACCATGCAGTGCTGAAGGGGACAAGAACAGCCCATACTGTCCTGCTGGATTTACTGCTTGCTAGTCACTTTTTGAACAAGGCTTGCGAGTGCCATTGTCCTGCCACAGTCTTTTTTGCTTTTACACAAGGCTGTTGATCTTTCCCTCTCATTGCACACTATGCGATGCTGAAGGGGACAAGAACAGCCCATACTGTCCTGCTGGATTTACTGCTTGCTAGTCACTTTTTGAACAAGGCTTGCGAGTGCCATTGTCCTGCCACAGTCTTTTCTGCTTTTCACAAGGCTGTTGATCTTTCCCTCTCATTGCACACCATGCAGTGCTGAAGGGGACAAGAACAGCCCTTACCATGCAGCTGGATTTACTGCTTGCTAGTCACTTTTTGAACAAGGCTTGCGAGTGCCATTGTCCTGCCACAGTCTTTTCTGCTTTTCACAAGGCTGTTGATCTTTCCCTCTCATTGCACACTATGCAATCTTGAAGGGGACAAGAACAGCCCTTACCATGCAGCTGGATTTACTGCTTGCTAGTCACTTTTTGAACAAGGCTTGCGAGTGCCATTGTCCTGCCACAGTCTTTTCTGCTTTTACACAAGGCTGTTGATCTTTCCCTCTCATTGCACACCATGCAGTGCTGAAGGGGACAAGAACAGCCCATACTGTCCTGCTGGATTTACTGCTTGCTAGTCACTTTTTGAACAAGGCTTAAGAGTGCCATTGTCCTGCCACAGTCTTTTCTGCTTTTCACAAGGCTGTTGATCTTTCCCTCTCATTGCACACTATGCAATCTTGAAGGGGACAAGAACAGCCCTTACCATGCAGCTGGATTTACTGCTTGCTAGTCACTTTTTGAACAAGGCTTGCGAGTGCCATTGTCCTGCCACAGTCTTTTTTGCTTTTACACAAGGCTGTTGATCTTTCCCCTACATCCATGGTTCATGGACTACTAATCATAGGGACGAACTGCCCTCATCACGACAGGAACGCGAATCTCTCCATCCCAGCCCCTTGAATCGCAGCGGTAGTACTGGGTAAACCATGGATGGGTACTTTAGAGTTTTGGTTTTGCTGTAGATGGATGTGTGTGTGTATTTATATATATATATAACTAATCAGCTAAAAAGCTTTATTAGATTTTATGATTTGCAGTGGTCCATCCGAGACTGGCCTTGATTGGCTTCACCAACATTGACAGGGTTCAGGATTGAAGGCCATGTGATTCACGGGTCAAGTTCTCTGTGTTAGTTTTCAGACGTCCATTTGGGGGTGTTCATAGTCATGGGGGATCCCCAAAATGATTGTTTTTGTCCGCCTTTGACGTTTATAGTGGAAATCCCCCTCAAAAAAGGATGATTTAGGCAGGGGTACCCCCACTTTAGAAGTACAGATGTATGCAGCATACATGGGGATGGAAGCAAGCCTGATGGTATTTTAACCAGCAAAAATTAGGATAAAGCCAACAATGATGGATGACCAGTGAAGACAGAGAGGTTATCAGCAAACATGCGTGGACAGAAAATCCAGATGCATCCTGGATGAAATTAGGACCGTGTTTAAAGACAAGGTGCCCCTAAATCCATTGATTACCCTCTGGTGAACTAACATAGCAATGGAAAATCACCATTTTTCATTGGAAAATCCACTATTTCTATGGCCATTTTCCATTGCTATGTTAGTTCACCAGAGGGTAATCATCATGGTTTGCCTAACCTTGCCGTATCATCGAGACTGGCCACTTCTCCAAGCCATGGCCATCATCCTACGTTGGTGCTGCAATCCATCGTTGGTGACACACCCATCTTGGGTGTATCAATGTTATCCCAGTTATATAATAGATAAGCAACCATAGATTATCCAGATAATACTAAGATGGTTCTATAGCTCAACAATATAGCCTCCAGTAATCAGCTCTGTTTGGAAAATCCCCATGATCTTCCCAGCTATAAACCTCTATGGTTCGGGCTACTTCCCACCATGTTGACACCGGCTATGCAAAGGGTTGCCCAGTGCCAAACGACCAAGGCGTTTTTGGCGAACAAGGCCGGGAAGGCTTTCTGCAGCATCGAGTGCATCGCATGCTGCCAGGGCTCCCAGTCCCATGTGGGGCGCCATCTATTTGGAGGATCATCCCATGGTCCTCGGAACAAAACGATGATCGAAGGCGACTGGAAGATCCCTGAACTGACCCCACTTACTACCCACTGGGATCCTCCAAGTAGGCTTTTTAAGCTGTTGGAGGTTTAAGGGACGACTAGAAGTAGAATTCTCCTCAACAAAGTCATCCCGTCAGGACCTACCACCCTACCAGCTGTAGCTGCCGCGCTTGCTGTTGATCACTGGAAAGTCGAAAAATCCGAGTTCCAACTTCAATTCCTTTAGTTCAAGCGGATAGGTGGTTGAACTGCCCTGTGGTTGATTGCCCAAAGTGAGTTAATGTGGGGAAAACAATGCCATAAACCATCCCGCAAATTACCATTTTTATAGGTGGTCTGCTTACCATTCCCAGTCATGGGTGGCCAACATGACATTGTTTTACCCACATGAGTTGTGATGATTGCTCCAAATCATGAGCATTTATTTGCTTCATTTCAATATTTTGACTCACGTTATCCACACTCCTCCTAGGATGTTTCCAATTTGGATGGTTCACTTCTTTTTGCGATGCATGCAACAACAAGACCATTTCATGGCTCCCATTTCATGGCTCAGGCAAGCGCAAGCAAGGAGCTTCAGCGATGCAGAGTTGGCGAAGTTTGGCGGGATGAGTTTCAAGGAGCAGTTCACCTTTCTGGGTTTGCTGGCGAAAATCGGAATGGGATGACCACCCTGTTCTGCTGGGCTGTTTCCTGCACCCAAGGATGGAAAAAACATGGAAAAACAGTAGGCTACCCGTGTAATCATGATTTGGCCTAGCAGAGATTGATGGCCATTCCAGAGAGGAATTGTTTTTTGTATCCAAGAATACCAACAATTGATGGATTTTTCGCGCAAACACGCTCCCTCGTCCGAATCGCTTTTTAATAGAACGAAATATAGAGGCTAGTGATGGAATAGTAATTTAGGAATTCTTCGAGGAAATGGTTTTGTCAATGAATCGTGAATGCGAAGTCTCCCAAATTGATAGATGTAAAGTTTTACATAAATAGTAGTGATGTGTGAGGAGAAAAAATGGATATAGACAATTTGAATATAGCTGTGTAATTCACACTGCTCATATTGATTATAAAGTATGTAAATAAGTTGCGCTATACGTGTGAACTGGGTGATGCATGATTGATGTTGTGATGTGCGAAATAAGGTTGCTATGTAGATTTGCACGTAGTTAGACGCTCTTAATATTTTTAACCAACAATTTGAATGGATGATACGCTTGAACAAAACTTGTGGCTCCAACCAGACGATGGGAACAGAAGATTGTTGGCAAGAAGGCATTGTAACAAGCATCAATAAACCGAATCAACCATGATAAACCCATGGATATATGGACATACACATGGTTACATGCAACAAACTTGTATGCACATACAATATACACGTGATATATATATACACATGATACACCTATCAGTATGCACCTCTGTGACCATTCTATGACATGTGTGTGTGTGCGTCTGTTATGTACATATATATATATATACAAGGTGGTGCCCCCAAGATAGCTAAGTTGGTGAACATAACTCCAATAGCTATGGTCTATAGGTGATATATCGAACTAGTTGTCATGGGCTTTACAAACCAATTTATAGATTTATAACTTAGATATAGTTATAGATATCGTTTTAGATATAGTTATAGATATATACCAATTATAGTTATTGGCTGATACATCTATAGTATTCGAACTAGTTCACGTTTGGGCACCACCTGATAGCCCTGTTCCATCAGGGGTCGCCCAGGTGTGGCAGGCCCCAAGGAACAATCCGGGGAGATGTCGAATCTCTTTGGAGAGATGGGACGGACAGGCGGCGCTTTGGTGCTGTTTCCCTTCCCGGGAGATGGGAAAATACACTGAACGTTCCCGGGAGAGCATGGGAAAATGCTGGTTGAATGATGATTTTTTCATGATTTCAGATGGGAAAATGACATTTTTCAGATCGGATTTCATGAGGGGGATTTAAATTGGCGATTGTTCACTGGACGGTGCCCCCAGTTAGTTGTGTTTGTGATAAACCCCATGACTACCATAAACCATAGAATTCAGCCACAATTCAGCCGCAAAAATATCTCAACTGAACGCTATCGACTGGGGGGCCCAGCCTGTAGGGAAAATGACATTTCAATGGGGATTGAAGCAACCCATATGGTGATGTAATGGTGATATAGTGGTTGAATGGGGATAAAATGCGATGAACCCAGGCAGTAAATGGGATTTTATGGGGTTCAAACAGATTTATTGGTGATTTGATGGGATATCACCATGAAACCAGGTTGTTCATGAGAAAATTGTCAGCTTCGCAACTTTAGGGGAGTTGTTCATTTTGTTCAGCGCTGCACTTGGGCGAGAAAAAACACCACTTTTTGGACGCTCAGGACACGTTTGGTACCCTTCTGTTCACCACAAAATTGGTCAATAGGTGGCATTTCTAGATGTTCATCCTGCCTACAAAGTGGGGCCCCCTAGATAGCTAAGTTGGTTTATAACTCCGATAACTATGGTTTATGGTACCTATAACTATAGTTAATGGGGTTTATAAACCATCTTATAACTGGGGGGCCCCACATTGTATGATCATGCTTTGACACGAGGAACCGGGGTTCAAGGCATCTTCGAGCTGCCGGTTCTGGCTTCCAACTGGGACTTCATTTGTTGATCCGACTTCATTTCTTAATTAAGATCCCAAAATTTGAATCACCATCAATTACACCTTAACATTATGACCCATGTATAGCAGTATAGGTAATGATCATCCCGTTTATTTGTAATCACCATGAACTATATCAATGAAACTATACAATATGTGTGATCATTTTCCGTGATTATATTATCATCTCTAATATTATAAATATCATAGTATATCAGATAATTCAATATTATAATCGGAAACAGTAATTATAATACTGAATATGATATTGAATTATCTATGATATACCATGAAATTTCTGGGTAAATTATAACGACCTCACTGTTCTCCCTTACTGGAATCATGGCTTATAGGGGAAATCATCCCCAAATGGCCTTAATTCAGGCTAGTGAAATATTATAATTTACCCACATGTTTTATCTTAGGTATATCACTTTCTTGTTTGCGCTCGCAGGTTATATTCAGCGTCGGATCCACCGCCGTTTGCATGACGCCATTCAGGGCTTGGCAGATGAGGTGCCGAGAAACGCACAAAACCCATGGGTACTACATATATATATATTAATATATCTTTTATATATATGTATACATATGCGTGTGTGTGTTGATATTTATATATGCTATGAATATATGTATTAATATATATTTATTTATTTATGTTAATATTATATATATAAATATATGTATATTAATATGTATATATATATATCAATATGTATATATATATATGTATATTAATATGTGTATATATATATATATTAATATGTATATATATATTAATTTATATATGTTAATATATTATATATATATGTTAATATATTATATATATGTAAATATATATTACATATAAGTCATATTATATATATAGTAATATAGTATTACGTATGGTTTTAGACAAAAATGATTGTTGATCCTCCAGTATCACAGCTACTGTCATAAACACTTGGCTTATGATCCCATCCTCACGACCTCGCCGCATGCCAAATGGGCTTATGGTGAAATGAAATGAATCACCCAGTAAGACGATGATGTTGATATGACTCTCAGGTATTTTGTGCTGTGATTTGTCAAAGCAACAGTTATTTGGATGCGTCCAAAAAAGGTCAAAGCCTCAGAATGACCATTCGAATGAGAAAATGTCTTCAGACCCCATTTCAAAAGGCCAGTGTTAACGGATGCCGACGAGATCGCGCAAAGATCCATTACTGATTGGTAAACCATTAATCCATTCCATTCCGTTAAAATTCCCATGAACCCATTAAAACACTCAAAATTTCGATTAAAATGACCATGTTTTTTCCAATATCATCATGTTTATCATCTATAAATATGGACCATTTTTCATCGTCAAATAACTTGAGGTTACCATGTCTGTTGGTAAAACAAAAAGCATCCCTGGTGGCCGCTGTGCGAGGACGTCTTTGCGTTGGGACAACAAAGTTTCAACGAAGCTCGGTGGCCACTGCATCATGGGTTCATTACTTCCCAGTTTGAAGCGGGAAATGGCCATGATGAGCATCCCGTATATATATATATATGTGTGTGTGTTGTTTATTGATTTAAATCTATATGTGTGTGCTTATTCATATTTCTCATCATATTCATGTTTGTTAATGTTATTTACTTGTCTATTTACAGGCCCTGCGGGATAAACCGGTGGAATCATGGACTTACCATGTGGAATCTCGTAGCCATCTCACTCCCCAATGGCCCAGGAACAATTCCGAACGCTGGGCCAAGATGAAAATGTGGACCTTAATGGAAATCCGTCGCATGGCTGGTGCCATGGGTTGATGCAAGTTGAAAGGTTGGGATGCTGCGACGATGGGATAGTTTAGTACTAACTCTTCTGCTGTTTTCATGGGGATAGAACAACCAAAACTAGCTGACAAGGGGGCATCTAAGTTTTTCTATGATAGCTGACATCAGGACGGATTCTCTGCGTCCTGATTTTCAACTGGGGCTAGTGGGACGTCCTTGAAATATGCAGCTCTCCATACTTTGCACAAAAACAGATCATCCTATTTAACACAACAATTCCTTAAGCTATCAGCGGCTACCAGATGTAGAAAGGGGATGAAACAGCATTATAGATCAACCCTTCACAGGAAGAAGCGATTTTAAAGTGGATTATGGGGCACACTTACTAAGGATTGTACGTTAGCTGACAGTGGCAGAGCTTTCAGCGGTGATTTGTCACATATTTGGAAGATATCGCCGCAACCAACACCCATCCATTCTTGTGATGTTTAAAATCCTCAAAAATTATATTTTCCCACCAAAGACCACGCAAAGACCACGATTTCAATAGATGTGCAAGCCTCAAATATGACGTGCAAAAGTCAAATATGCGTTAAACCTGGGAAGATCCCGCTCATGGCTTCCAAAAATTCTGGGAATAAGTTTGGATTTATTTGGACCCCTGAAAGAATATCCTCATTCTTTTCCAATGTTTGTTGCCTACATCCAAATCATAAAGCCCTTTGAGAAAGCCTGATTCTAATACGTAGATCCTCAATTTTTGTTGCTTAGTCTTCCATGTTGGTGATGAAATTCTGCATTGTTGTTGGCAGAATCCCTAAGTTTGCTATGATATTCCCAATTTGTCTTAACCGATGTTGAGCTCCGAAAAACATCAATGCCATGTCTGGTGTGTTGGTGAAAGAAACGATGTTTCCACACCTTTTCCGTGGTTTGGAAACCCCAAATTTGGAACCAAAAAACACAACCAAACTTGTGAATTGATAACCCATATCCAAACTTCTGCAGCTTATCATCCTTTGTATCCCGGTTAGATCTCCAGAAACAATGGTCTAACTCCAAGGTTTGGCAAAGAAAGTCGCGAGTCCTACATCCAAATCCACGTCCACCGGAAGCTGCACGGCCATGTGGCCAAGATGAGTGACGAGGAGCGCGCAAAAATGGGACATTCACCGGGAAAAAAGTGATGGATTTCACCAAGATTTATATCGGTGAAATGTGGATAAATGTGGCTGTTCTGCATATTTTTTAAACTGGGTCAGTTTTAATGGTTAATGATGGTTAAGCCATATTTCTGATTGATGATCTTTAATTTATTTGTTATTGTAGTGATGTTGTCAATAGTGACCAAAAACAACGTCGTGGGATTTGTTCAATCAGGGTTTCAACCAACAATCAGATGGGAATTGAAGCAACAAATAATGAATTTACCATAATTTACCTTTGTGAACCCTTCAAAGCTTTGGGAAAATGCCTGGCCTGGGCAGGGCAATATCCGCAGCCACGAGATACAGATTTTGTCATGTTGTGTAAATTGAGGGCTGGCACTCTGGGAAAAGCACTTTGGCAAAGTCTCATGACACTTTCCCCAAGGGAAACTTGGAAACCTCCCTTTGTTTCTAGCGGTGATGAAGTTCAGATCTTGACGGCTTTCATGCGCGGCACCGCTACAGTGTCGTTGAGCGCCGTGGGTGCTGGTGAGGAGCGCAAGTAGGATAAAATGTGCGTGTGATCAGTTGCCTTTGCCTATATATATAATATATTATATATATATATACATATATATATATATATACACTATATATTTAATATATATATATATATACATACGTTTCTCTATATCTTGGTCTACGTCTATGTATCCCTGTGACTTTTTTTCCAAGCCGCGGATCGAATGCAGGAGGTCTTCAATCTCGGCAAGTTAGGTCCGGCTGGGTGTTCACCGCAGTGGGACGTGCCACACGGGATTTGATGGTGATATGGGAAGATTTGATGGGGATCGAATGGGATTAAGCGGGATACAAATGGGATTTTAATGAGTTGACCATGGTGAGAAACCGTCGGATTTTTTTACGGAAACCATGGGTATTTGATATTCATCATTAAGCAGTTCATTGGGATTTCATGGAAAATCACCATGGTCAGGATATGGTCAGGTCAACCCTGTGTCATCAGCTCTATGGCTGGGAGATCCCCAACTACATGGGAGGGTTCAATGGGAAAATCATCTACCCTCTGGTAATTTAACATAGCTATTGAAAATGGCCCATAGAAATAGTGGATTTACCCATTGAAAATGGTGATTTTCCATAGTTGTGTTAGTTTACCAGAGGGTAATTGACGCCGAGATACAACACGTAAACCATCATAGACCCATATCTTCCAAGCTTCCAAGACATTGTTCGGGTAATCAGACCCACCATTTTTAAGGGATGATGTCCTATTCTTTTGCCATCATATCCCATTATATCCCCATATTAATTGATTCTATCCCCATAAAACCCCCATGAAAGTCTTATTATATCCCCATGACCCTCTGGTAAACTAACATAGCTATGGAAAATCACCATTTTCAATCTATAAATGGCCATTTTCAATAGCAAACTCTTAGTTTACCAGAGGGTATACCCCCATTATATCCCCACAAAACCACCATATTTCAAGATGCACGGGACGACATCCAGGTATCCTGCCGGCCCCAGGTTTCAACGAGCAGTTTCGAACCCTCAGCGTGGATGCCACCGAAGCTGAACCTTGGTGACTATGGCACCCGAAAAACACATGGTGAACTCAAACGCAGTTGGGATATACCCTCTAGTAATTTAACATAGCTAATGAAAAAGGCCATAGAAATAGTGGATGTTCCCATTAAACATGGTGATTTTCTATAGCTATGTTAGTTTACCAGAGGGTAACCCCTATAACTATGGTGAAATATTCCACCTATAACCTGGAACTGCACTTCCAAGTAGTCAAACATGGCAATGGAATTGTCCCCATTTAGAGATGAGTTTGCCGTAAAATACCTCCATTTATAGGGAATTTCCCATTGCCACGTTTGATTATCGAAGGGTATGTCTTGCACCATAGTTAGGTAAGATTGCCACTAATACAATTATCAATGGCATGGGGGGAGATATTTAAAAGTAGGAATAAACCTTGGTCATATTCGTTATGAATGTATGTAGTTGCTTTATAATTATAGCTAAGGGTGATGGTTAAAAACAGATATAGTCAATGGGGTGGAAACCAACATTTACATGGGCACCAGCTTGCACTTTATGTAGTGTTGTTTGAAACTGCAGGGAAAACCCCGATTGATCAAAGACTGCGGACAGGAGAAGCTCTGCTTCCACAGTACAACGCCATCGGCTGCACGTTCAAGGGGGGTCATACCAGCGAGATCCATACGCGACTCCCCAACAGCCGGTCCTTCTATCCCAGCAGAGCTCTGGAAGGTGCGGGGTCTTCAGCATCGGGGCAATGGCAGCTGGCCGTGACGAGCATCGTGACAAGCAGGTTTGTGTACCGGGTCGAGCAGTGCGGAGTGCACGTCGGAACCGAGATCTTCTATGAGTTTGGTGGCGTCGCTTCGCCTGGGGGCCAATGGTTTTTATATCATAATTGTACCAATCAAAATTGTACCCGCGCAAAAGCAAGTGTGCAAGCATTATCAATTCTTAGTTGGCCAATAAAATTGAGGATGCAACACCACATATTACTTGGGAATTGGCCATTTGCGGATTGGCAAACGATTAAGATTAAACCTCGACAATTCAGGATTCAGCGAGAAATGAGAATATTGCCAACAAGTTGTGTTCAAATGCGCCAAACTATGTCTGGTTGGTGGTTTGGAACATGAATTTTATGACTTTCCATATATATATATTGGGAATGTCATAATCCCAACTGACGAACTCATATTTTTCAGAGGGGTAGGCTCAACCACCAACCAGATTCCATTCCCCGACGTTTTTGATGCTTGACACCAAGCTGTCCCTTTCACCAAAAACTCGATCCTCCTTGGGATTCATGGAAGATCACCATGAACGGGCCATCTATAAATGGGTTATTGGTTATTTTCCCTTGCTAATATGTTGAATTGCCGGAGGGTAAGGGATTAAGATGGCACCAATGTAAATTTGGGGATGTGAACTACACTTGTTAGGGTCTTACCGACATGAGGATTGGAGTAATTGAAAAACGGATGTAAAAACAGATGTATATGTCCGGCTAGGGTAACCCCTTTGATGGATTGTCGAATTGGTTCCCCATATTTTCCCCTGAAGATGACACTGTGAAACAAATTGAGGGGAAGGAAGAAAGGGGAAGTTGAATCCTGTTGGGGCGTCCGAGCGCTGAGGATGAAGTCAACTTCCAAGCCGGACGCCCCTTGGATCTGATTTGGATCTGACCAGAATGGGTCAAAACACATGAATTCTGCATATGTCGGTGCCTTTCAAAGCGAAGAAAATATGGAATTTGGGGAATGAGGGATCGGCTAGATGGGTTAAAAACCCATAATTCTCCGTCAATTTAAGTAAGAAATATAATATCTACATATATATATATATACTTATCCATCAACGACATGCAGGATCTTGTCCATCCACAGTATGAAATCCCCAAAATTCACCTTGCATCCGTCATCGGTCATCGGTTTGGTAGCTCTCATCCCATGAAATCTTCATGAAATCATCATAAATCACATGAAATCCCACTGGTTGGTGGTGTGGAACATTTTTTCTCCAATAGTTGGGATGATGATCCAATCTGACTTTCATATTTTTTCAGAGGGGTAGGGATACCACCAACCAGATAAGATCTCCATGAAACGGGCATTTTTCCCGAGAGCGCCTGCGAAGGGTTCTTCGTAAAAAAGCAGCCGTTATATACATCTTCACAAAATAAATTTGCTGATCTACATCTTCACACCTTCACACCTGCTGATCTACATCTTCACACTCTCACATCTGCTGATCTACATCTTTACACCTTCACATCTGCTGATCTACATCTTCACATCTGCTGATCTACATCTTCACACCCTCACACCTGCTGATCTACATCTTCACACCCTCACATCTGCTCATCTACATCTTCACACCTTCACATCTGCTGATCTACATCTTCACACTTTCACATCTGCTGATCTACATCTTCACACCCTCACACCTGCTGATCTACATCTTCACACCCTCACATCTGCTCATCTACATCTTCACACCCTCACACCTGCTGATCTACATCTTCACACCTGCACATCTGCAGATCTACATCTTCACACCCTCACATCTGCAGATCTACATCTTCACACCTTCACATCTGCAGATCTCCTCTCGCTCTTCTTTCTATTCTCTCTTATAAGGCTAGGGCGGTCCGCCGGAGCGCCACGAAACGCAACCCTTTCGCACGAAATGGACGTTGGACGTCAGAAACTGAGGTAAAATTGCGATTTTGAGGTGTCCATCGCAACCCTTTCGCACGAAATGGACGTTGAACGTCAAAACCTGGGGTAAAATTGCAATTTTGAGGTGTCACGGGCGACCCTTTCGCACGAACTGGACGTTGGACGTCAGAAACTGAGGTAAAATTGCGATTTTGAGGTGTCCATCGCAACCCTTTCGCACGAAATGGACGTTGGACGTCAAAAAATGAGGTAACATTGCGATTTAACTTGTCCCCTCGCAACCCTTTCGCACGAAATGGACGTTGGACGTCAAAAACTGAAGTAAAATTGCGATTTTGAGGTGTCCATCGCAACCTTTTCACACGAAATGGACGTTGGACGTCAAAAACTGAGGTAAAATTGTGATTTAACTTGTCCCCTCGCAACCCTTTCACACGAAATGGACGTTGAACGTCAAAAACTAAGGTAAAATTGCGATTTAACCGGTTCTGTCTGTAAAAGGGTCTGTATGTAAAGGCGTCTGTGTGTAAAAGCGTCTGTGTGTAAAGCGTCTGTGTGTAAAAGTGTCTGTGTGTAAAGGAGTCTGTGTGTAAAAGCTTCTGTGTGTAAAAGTGTCTGTGTGTAAAAGCTTCTGTGTGTAAAAGCTTCTGTGTGTAAAAGGGTCTGTGTGTAAAAGGGTCTGTATGTAAGAGCGTCTGTGTGTAAAGGAGTCTGTGTGTAAAAGCCTCTGTGTGTAAAAGCATCTGTGTGTAAAAGCTTCTGTGTTTAAAAGCTTCTGTGTGTAAAAGTGTCTGTGTGTAAAATGGTCTGTGTGTAAAAGCTTCTGTGTTTAAAAGCTTCTGTGTGTAAAAGTGTCTGTGTGTAAAATGGTCTGTGTGCAAAAGTGTCTGTGTGTAAAATGGTCTGTGTGTAAAAGCGTCTGTGTGTAAAAGCGTCTGTGTGTAAAAGGGTCTGTGTGTAAAAGGCTCTGTGTGTAAAATGGTCTGTGTGTAAAAGTGTCTGTGTGTAAAAGTGTCTGTGTTTAAAAGCTTCTGTGTGTAAAAGCTTCTGTGTGTAAAAGGGTCTGTGTGTAAAAGGGTCTGTATGTAAAAGCGTCTGTGTGTAAAGGAGTCTGTGTGTAAAAGCCTCTGTGTGTAAAAGCATCTGTGTGTAAAAGCTTCTGTGTTTAAAAGCTTCTGTGTGTAAAAGTGTCTGTGTGTAAAATGGTCTGTGTGTAAAAAAGCTTCTGTGTTTAAAAGCTTCTGTGTGTAAAAGTGTCTGTGTGTAAAATGGACTGTGTGTAAAAGTGTCTGTGTGTAAAATGGTGTGTGTGCAAAAGCTTCTGTGTGTAAAAGCGTCTGTGTGTAAAAGGGTCTGTGTGTAAAAGGCTCTGTGTGTAAAATGGTCTGTGTGTAAAAGTGTCTGTGTGTAAAATGGTCTGTGTGTAAAAGCTTCTGTGTGTAAAAGTGTCTGTGTGTAAAATGGTCTGTGTGTAGAAGGCTCTGTGTGTAAAAGCGTCTGTGTGTAAAGGAGTCTGTGTGTAAAAGCTTCTGCGTGTATCTGTCAAAGCTTCTTTGGGTCTAAGTGTCTGTGTTGCAAGGCACGTGGTTGCAAGGCACGTATTATATGTTGCCCTTTACCAAGCAGCCTGGGTTGTCACATGTATCCCCCTTTTAATCAATCCTACTTTTCACAACTTATCCTCCATAGCTTATATAAAATTCACCAATGATTCACATACTATTTTTGAACGACCATCATTATCAGAGCTGTTTGAAAAACGTTTTTTTCGCTCTCGGGCCAACCGTCGTCTAGTTTGCTAGGGGATTCACTTGTTTTGTTAGGAGCTGGCTACATCCAGCAACACATCCACCGGCGCCTGCAGAGCCGTGCAGCTCAGTTGAGCGATAAGGACGGGGCCCGATGAAATGATGTGATTTCAATGGCACAGGATAGGGCCCCCAGTTGATAGCGTTCAGGTGCCTTATTTCAGTGGCTGAATTCTATGGTTTATGGTAGATATAACGAACTAGTTCATGGGGGTTATTTCATGGTTTTTAAACCAACAAACATAACTAGGGGGGGCCATCCTGCATGTTCAATTGGATAATTGTGGGATATATTGGGATGATGGATTGGAATTTATGGGATTTAATTGGATTTCATGGGATTTAAATGGAATGTATAATGGGATTTATGGGGATTTAATGGAACTTGATGGGATTTATTGGAATCAGACATGGCTAGCTGGAAAGTCGCCTTAGAAATAAATAGAGGTTTGGGTGGTTTAGCCACCATGATTTTGATAGTTGGTATAGATCTGCGGATTTTCTTTTTCTGCAGTGATGACCTCTGTCTTCCGTGTCGCTCTCAAAGAGGAAGCTGAACCACTGGACTTGTTCTAATTGACACGAAAAGATGTTGGTAAACTTGGTTAGGTCGTTTGACCATTTTGATGGAGATATGTCAGATATGTGCTACCAAGCTTTTTTGTGGGACATCAAAGACTCATTCTCAAACCTGCCGGTTTTGATATTGCTTGTGGTTTGCTGTTTACTGCAGCTGATGCGCTTGGCGCTTCTCGAAGCTTTGAATCTGTGCTTCTTTGGCTCCAGGAACCCCAAAATACCCAGCGTTTTCAGCAATTCTAAAGCACAATCCTTCAAGAAAGGTATCAACCCTCTCAGATAAATTGTTTCTGCTTCCAATCCCGAGATCTGTGGTTCGAAATTTGGGGAAGCTGCAATAAATTCCATTTTAAAAAAAGCGTGCGCCTTGATGCAGTCTCAGTAAGTTGTATCGTGTTTTTGCCATGTGTGAATGTCATGCCCAGCTAAAAAAGAAATCGTTGGATTTCGCAGGCTATCCAAGATCAGTGGTGAACATAGTTGCATGTCCATTTGGCGCTAGCAGGTTGGCACTTGCAACATGTGTTTTCTGTAATAGCGCACTCCTTCCAGGATATCCATAGAATTGCCATTTTTACAGGGCGAACTGTTGGATTTTAGGGGTGCCCTAATTTTTGACAAACCTATATTCAAGCCAAAGCGCTTGCAACCACGGGATATCGCGATGGAGGTGCGCTTCCTAGCGTCTGGCGCGATGCTGACAGCTCTTGATCAAGACGACTTTGAAGGCAAAACTGCCAGAGAAGTGAAGCAAACTTTGGCAGCTCATGCTGGGGTCTCCAGATTTCGGCAGAGACTCTACGTGGAAGATGGCTTCCGCGAGATTCAGGATGATGAGGTGTTTGGATCGGCTCCGGTGCAAGTACAACTGGTTATGTTGGAATTCTTGCCACCAGATGCTGAAGAGGACAAACAGATGATTTCCGCATGCATCAGAAACGATTCAGCCAGCTTGGAACAATTTCTTCAAGGTCCTCGAAATCCAAACCTTGGAGGTGGGTATGGGTCAAAACTGCTTACGCTGGCAAAGTGGTAAGCCTAGTACCCCAATGAGTCCCAATAGTTTTGTTTTATTGAGTTTCGGCTTATCGAGCCCAACCCACACCAAGGCGACAATGGTGAGACACCTCTTCAGCCCCTACACTGTGCTGCACAGGGGGGAGATATTGAACCTGTGCGCCTACTGCTTGAGGCAGGTGCAGACACAAATGCAAGAGAACATCATGGGCTCACACCATTACATTCTGCAGCTGAAGAGGGCAATCTTGACATCGTCCGCTTCCTGGTTGAAGCCGGGGCCAACAAGGATCAACCAGCAACAGATTTTGGGCTGACACCACTCCATTTTGCAGTTCAAAAAGGCCATCTTGACATCGTCCGCTTCCTGGTTGAAGCCGGGGCCAACAAGGATCAACCAACAACAGATTTTGGGGTGACACCACTATATATTGCAGCTCTTGGAAGCCATCTTCACATCGTCCGCTTCCTGGTTGAAGCCGGGGCCGACAAGGATCAGCCAAGAACGGGTGATGGGTTGACGCCACTCCATTGTGCAGCTAAAGCAAACCATCTTGACATCGTCCGCTTCCTGGTTGAAGCCGGGGCCAACAAGGATCAACCAGCAACAGATTTTGGGCTGACACCACTCCATTTTGCAGTTCAAAAAGGCCATCTTGACATCGTCCGCTTTCTGGTTGAAGCCGGGGCCACCAAGGATCAACCAACAACAGATTTTGGGGTGACACCACTTCATTTGGCCGTTCAAGAAGGCCATCTTGACATCGTCCGCTTTCTGGTTGAAGCCGGGGCCACCAAGGATCAGCCAACACCAGATTTTGGGCTGACACCACTCCACGATGCAGCTGAAGAGGGCCATCTTGGCATCGTCTGCTTCCTGGTTGAAGCTGGGGCCAACAAGGATCAGCCAACAGCGAATGATGGGGGAACGGCACTGCATGTTGCAGCTCAAAAAGGCCATCTTGACATCGTCCGCTTCCTGGTTGAAGCCGGGACCAACAAGGATCAGCCAACAGCGAATGATGGGCGAACGGCACTGCATGTTGCAGCTCTTGGAGGCCATCTTCACATCGTCCGCTTCCTGGTTGAAGCCGGGGCCAGCAAGGATCAACCAACAACAGATTTTGGGGTGACACCACTTCATTTGGCCGTTCAAGAAGGCCATCTTGACATCGTCCGCTTTCTGGTTCAAGCCGGGGCCAACAAGGATCACCCAACAACGGATGAGGGGCTAACACCATTGCACTTTGCAGTGCGAGAGGGACACCTTGGTGTTGTTCGCTTGTTGGCGGAGTCTGGTGCCACAGAGCCTCCAAGGAAAAAGCCTCGGAGAAGGAGAGACATCCGTTGATATGCATTCAGAAACTGGGAAAACAAGCAGATCATTCCTGGTTATTTGCGTGGAGGATGCGCGAGGTTATGTTCACCGCCTTAGGGTGGTTATTTCCTCGCGACTTGAATCTTTCAAATATCTGACATCATGATTCAAAAAGCAGGTGACATTTGGCAAGGGGCTGGGGATCCACTGAAGCTTATTGGGATGTTGGCCTGACGTCAAGACATGGCATTTCTGATCACCTCAGAAGTACAGACCGTTGAACGGTAGGTTACGGTAATGGGTTGAGTCTTTGACAGGGAATCTAAGCTTAACAATCTTGCGTCCAACCACAGATGAGGGTGAAATGATGTGAAATGCAATGTCTCAGTTCGTATGGTTTCATGTTAATGAGGCTGTTTCCAGACAAAATTGAAATAGATCCAGCCAGATTCGAGAGGTACTTTTTGCAGTTATCCGGACATTGAACAAAAATAACATCCACCAGTCAGCTGTGTCTTGAACTGACCCATGCAAGCCAATACCATCGGCACCAGTCGTACTTGCGGGCATGGCAGCACCTACAGGTTGTTCCCCATATATTTTTCGGCTCAATCGAATGGAGCATCCCCATTTCTTATGTCCTTTGTCCACATTTGGGTATGGGTCAAAATTAAGGACCTAGGGGACCACAGATTTAACTTTATTTTCAGTATTAACCATCCAATCACTGGGGTACTCAATTTTGACTCATACCCATTTGCTGTGGGTTCAAAGATGTTCAAAGTCTTGTTTTTGTTTGTGGTGAAGCCTGACCGTTTAAGCCCCTCCTTCCTATCTGTCTTTCTCCTTGACGAAACACCTGGTGCACCATTGACCCAGCCACCAAGGTTGACCCTTTGGCAGTTTCTCCTTCTCATGGTGTTCAAACCCTGACTGATGAAACACATATTGATATTCATATACCAGTAGTAAGTACCGCACAAGGCGGTGGCGGAAGTTTCAAAAATAGGAAACCTATAGGAGAGGTTGGTGGTTGTGAATCAGGGATGGCAGAGCGAAGCCACTGATGGACCGAAAGGTGCTTGAGGCCTCCTCTCTTTCTCTCTCTTTCTCTGACTATCTATGTATGTATCTATGTATCTATGCATCTATGCATCTATGTATCTATGTATCTATGCATCTATGTATCTATCTATCTATCTATCTACCTATCTATCTATCTATCTTTCTTTCTATCTTTCTATTTTTCTATCTTTCTATCTATGTATCTATCTATCTATCTATCTATCGATCTATCTATCTATGTATCTGTTTATCTATCTATCTATCTATCGATCTATCTATCTATGTATCTATCTGTCTATCTTTCTATCTTTCTATATTTCTATCTTTCTATCTATCTATCTATCTATCTGTTTATCTATCTATCTATCTATCTATCTATCGATCTATCTATCTGTCTGTCTATCTATCTATCTACCTACCTATCTATCTATCTCTCCCTTTCATCTGTCTAGCTGTCTACCTGTCTATCTGTGTTGCAGTGTCATTCAGTGTAATGTAGTGTGGTGTAGTGTAATTTAGTGTAGTGGAGTGTACTGGAGCGTAGTGTAGTGTAATGTAATGTACTGGAGTGTAGTGTAGTGTAATGTCCTGTAGTGTAATGTATTGAAGCGAAGCGACATCTGAACCTCCAAAAGTGGTCCGAACCCCTAGTGTTTTGAACATTTTGACTTCGAAATGTGCTTCGCGCCACAACGGCGTGCACTTTTTCGACATCTGAACCTCCAAAAGTGGCGCGAACATGTAGTGTTTTGTACATTTTCACTTCGAAATGTGCTTCGCGCCACAACGGCGTGCACTTTTTCGACATCTCAACTTCCAAAAGTGGCTCGAACATGTAGTGTTTCGTACATTTTCACTTCGAAATGTGCTTCGCGCCACAACGGCGTGCACTTTTTCGACATCTCAACTTCCAAAAGTGGCGCGAACATGTAGTGTTTTGTACATT